CCGGGGTCCGCCCCCTTAGGTCACCTTATTTGTTGTCGGCCCCGCGCCCCCTGCGCGCCTCCATTGGTCCCGTGCCGCGTCACTCAGCCCAAGCCCCGCCTCCTCATGACGCTCCCTGCCTTCCTATTGGCCGTTTCCCTGCCCATCTCCCCGCTCGCCGCCGCCCATTGGCCAAGCCGTGCGGGGGCGGGGCGCCGTTCCCTGGCCCGCCCTCCCATTGGCGCGGCGCGGAGGCGGGCGCGGCGCTGATTGGCTGCGGCGCCGCTCGGTCCCGCCCGCGGCAGCAGGGTTTGGTTGAGCGCTGTTTGTGCGCTCGGGGCCGCGCCGGGAGCCACCGGAGGTACCGGGGGCGGCACCGGGGGGCACCGGGGGGGCGGCACCGCCGGGGCGGCGCCGGGAGCGGGGGGAGGACGCGGCGGGGCGGGAGCGCGGGCACGGGCGGGCCCCGGGCAGCTGGGGGAGGTTGGGGGGGCGCCACCCCCCGGGCGGGGGTTGGGGGGGGAACCGGGGGGGCGGGGACCCCCCTCCCGGAGGTGTCGCGGGGTCGGGGCCGGGTCCTCCCCGTGGGGAGCGGGCGGTGCCCCGTTATGGGGGTTTTTACCCCCCTTTCTCGCTGTGGGGGTGTTTCCCCCCCGGTATGGGGGTCGTTACCCCCCCCTCCCGTTATGGGGGTCTCTACCCCGTTTTGGGGGTGTTTAGCCCGTTTTTGGGGCACTCCTCCCCACACTTGGCCGGTTCTGGGCCCCCCGGCCCAGGCAGAGGCACCGGGAGCCCCCCGGCCCCTCCCCGGGAGGGGGGTCCGTGTTGGGCTGTGGGACCCCCCGTGTTTGGGGCTGGTCCCAGTCCCGGTAGGAATTCCCGGTGTGGGATTGGCTGCTCCAGGGGTTTGGGGGTGAATCACGGACAGGGAGACCCCCCATTGCCCCCCCCAGCTCCTGCCCCATCCCTGCGCTGGGGGGGCTCCTCTGGGGGGGCCGGGGGAGGCCCCGACTCCTCCCCTGCCGGGTGCTCATCCCTCCTCCCAGTCCCTGCCCTGGAGCTAGGGATCTGAACTGGGGCTCCCCCTGAACTGTGGCTCCCCCAGAATTTGGGAACCCTCAGAGCTGAGGCTCCCCCCAAGCCGGGGTTCCTCCAGAATGGGGGTCCCCGGGTGCCTTCACCCCGAGCTGGGGCTCCCTGGGCCTCTCCTGCTCCACTGAGGCTCCACTGAGCCATGGGATGCTCCCTGTCCCCCAGGGTGCTCCCTGTCCCCAAAGTGTGGGTCTCCAGCAGCACCAAACCCCCCAGAGCCATCAGGACACGGAGGTGCCCGGCCCTTCCTGGAGCAGCACATCCATGGATTCTGTCCCAGCCACCCACGGGCTTCTTTTCCCCAAGGGAATCTCCTGTTCCCCACCAGGGATCCCCTGGGATCTCTCTGGGAGGACGAGGATCCTCTCCCGGGGGTCCTGGGCGTGTGGATGGATTGGGGAGGGACGGTGGGGCCGGGTGGTTGCTGTGCCCAAGGGGTTGGGGGGCAGCCAGGGCTCGGCAGATCCCTGGAGCTGGGACAAGATCCCGGTGTTTCACTGGGGAGGGGTCCCAGCGTTTCAATAATGAGGGGTCCTAGTGTTTGATTAGGGAGGGATCCCAGGGTTCCACTGAGGAAGGATCCCGGTGTTTTGTTAAGGAAAGATCCCAGTGTTCCACTTAGGAGGGGTCCCGGTGTTTCTTTGGGGGAGGATCCCACTTTTTCATTGGAGATGGATCCCAGTGTTTGATTAGAGAGTGATCCCAGTATTCCACTGGGGAGTGGTCCCAGTGTTCCATTAGGGAGGGATCCCGGGGTTTCCTTAGGCAGGGATCCCGAGGTTTCCTTAGGCACAGCCCTCCCCCAGGGTGTCCATTGGTCCCTCACGGCCGAGTCCCGGCTCCGCTGCCCCGTGGCCAAGGCCGGGCTCCCCCCGGGCCCCCAACACCGCTGGGGCCCATCCTGGTGGTCCCTGTGGCCACCCCGGCACCGCTGGGGCCCATCCTGGTGGTCCCAGCCCCGCGTGGCTCCGTCAGGGCGCGGTTGGGCCACAGGAACAGCCCGAGTGGCAACAGGAAAAGCCGTTACCGGCCGGGCTGTCGCAATCCCGGGGATGGTGACGGTGACGGGCTGTCCCGGCTCCATCCCGGCTCCATCCCGGCTCTGCCCTGGCTCCATCCCGGCTCTGTCCCGGCTCCGTCCCGGCTCTGTCCCAGCTCCATCCCAGCTCCGTCCTGGCTCCATCCCAACTCTGTCCCAGCTCGATCCCAGCTCAGTTCCAGCTCAGCCCCCTTTGGGAAGGGCTGCACCAGGCGGTATTTTGGGGGAGCTGGAGCGAGGCCCCTCGAGATCCCTGGGGTTCAGCACAGCCCCAGTTGATCCGTTGTCAGGACAAGATCCCAGTATTCCACTGAGGAGAGGTGCCAGTGTCCCATTGAGGAAGGATCCCAGTGTCCCATTGAGGAGGGATCCCAATGCTTTGATGAGGAGTGATCCTGGTGTTTCGTTGTGGAGGGATCCCATTGTTCCACTGAGGAAGGATCCAGTGTTTTGTCAAGGATGGATCCGAGCGTTCCATCAAGGTGGGATCCCAGTATTCCATTAGAGAGGGATCCCAGTGCTCCAGCAGCCAGGGAGAGCAGGGTTTGTGTCCCCACGTGCTGCCTCGCTCCGTGGATCCGCCCGTCCAGCAGCTGATGGCACAGGAACACCCGAAATGGCAGCAGGATCCCTGGGATTGGGGTGTGGGCACCTTCCACCTGGAGCCGGGATGTTCTGGTGGGAGCTGATGGGTCTGATGGCCCAAAAATCCAAGTTCCCTCCGAGGGAATCCGAGTCTGGGGGATTGTGACTCCCGTGATCCCTCAGAGGATCCCTGGGATCTCCTGGATCCGTGTGGCCAACACGGGTGGGGATGGACACATCCTGGAGCTTTGGCTCCATCCAGCCCCAGGAGTGGGAAGAGCCGAAGCCTCCAGGAAAACAGGGGCTCCGTGGGGTGTCCAGGGGCTCTGAGAGGAGCTCCCCTTGGAGCAGGGGGGAGGAGGAAGCTCCCACCTCCCCGTGGAGGAGGAGCCCCTGCAGTGCTGGGGGTCCACAGAAAGCTGGGATCCACCGGGACCCAGAGGTCCTGGAAAAAGTGCTTTGGGGGTCGTAGCATTCCCTGTGCCTTGGGAAGTGATGTGTGGAGGAGTTTGTGTTCCCGGGCCTTGGGTGGGAACAGAACAACCCCCTTATCCGGGATGGCCGGGTTGGATCCGTGCCGTGGTTGGAGTTGTTTCCTGCTGGGATCCGGCTGGATCCCTGCTCCCGGGAAGGGGAACTGGCCACAAACAACTTTCTGCCTGGGCTGGTCTCCCATCCCTGTCCTGGCCCCACCAGAATCTGCTGCGGGCTCGGGACGGAGCATTCCTGGGCACAGCGAGGTTTGATCCCGAGACAAACACAATCCCAGCAGGAATTCCTCCTGCCCGGTGACCCCGGGCTTGTCTCCGAGTGCCCCTCCCAGAGCCGCGTCGTTCCGGGGCTGGCAGGGATTGGGGAATGTGCAGGGATTGTGCTCCATCCCGAGGGATGTGCAGGGATTGTGCTCCATCCCAAGGGGATCTGCTCTGCACCCCGACCTGGGCAGCACCATCAGCCCCTGCTGCTCCAGTCGGGAGTGGAAAACAAAGCAAAACCAGGGAGAAATAAACAAAAAAAAAAACCCCAAACCAGGGCGGGGGGACGTTTGGGAAGAGCCGGGGAGTTTTCCAAAGCCTCTTCCCGGCCGGCAGCCGGAGCCACTGTGGCATCTCCCGGGCCTGGAGCCACCGTCCTGCCGCCCCTTCCCGGCTCCGGCGTGTCCCGGCTGGAGCTGCTGGGGAGCGGGAGGAGTGCTGACTCACTCCCAGCCTCCTCGGCTGCCGGATCCCGGCGGCCTGGCTCCCAGATTAGCTCCTTCCCACCCAGCTGCTCCAGGAAATCCCTCGGGAATCGGAGCTCGGGGAGCGCAGCCGTGGCCGGCGAGGCCCTGCCACGTGCCGGGGGGAGCCCCCGGGGAGGGGGGGGGGAGACCCCCGGGGATGATCCCGTGGGGATGATCCCACCCCGGGGGAACGTCGTGCTGAGGGATCTCCCCTTGTCCCCCCAGGAGAGCCGAGGGGTCGGAGCCTTCCAAGCTCTGCAGTGGGTCCGGCAGCACCGGGGCCATGACGAGCCGCGGGGCCGCCAGGCCCAACGGGCAGTCCCAGGCCAGTAAGATCTGCCAGTTCAAACTGGTGCTGCTGGGAGAGTCGGCCGTGGGCAAGTCCAGCCTGGTGCTGCGCTTCGTGAAGGGGCAGTTCCACGAGTACCAGGAGAGCACCATCGGGGGTGAGTCCCGCCGAACACCAGCCCGGGCTGCGGGTCCCCCCCGGGACGGGAGTGGGGGCGCAGGGAGGGGCTCCCCGGATGTGGGGAAGGACCTGGGGTGCGGGGGGGGCCCCCCCGGCCGTGACTGACCCCCCCCCTCCCGGCAGCGGCATTCCTGACCCAGTCCGTGTGCCTGGACGACACGACGGTGAAGTTCGAGATCTGGGACACGGCGGGGCAGGAGCGGTACCACAGCCTGGCCCCCATGTACTACCGGGGAGCCCAGGCCGCCATCGTGGTCTACGACATCACCAACCAGGTGGGGCAGGGGCTGGGGGGGGCTCGGGGGGGGGTCCCGTGTCCCCGCAGGGTTTGGGATCGTCCCTGAATTCCCAATTCCCAACTCTGCCGCAGGAAACGTTCGCGCGGGCGAAGACATGGGTGAAGGAGCTGCAGAGACAAGCCAGCCCCAGCATCGTCATTGCCCTGGCCGGCAACAAGGCCGACCTGGCCAGCAAACGCATGGTGGAGTATGAGGTGAGGGGGGTCCTGGGGGCTGTTCCCGGGGCCGGGAGGGGCCGGGGCTGATGGGTCTGTCCGTGCAGGAGGCGCAGGCCTACGCCGACGACAACAGCCTCTTGTTCATGGAGACGTCGGCCAAGACAGCCATGAATGTGAACGACCTCTTCCTGGCCATCGGTGAGGAACCCGGGGACACACGGGGGGGCTGATTGTCCCACCCCCAAGGGGCTTCTCGGGAGGCTGAACGGGGCAGGGGGGTTGTGCCAGGGCTGGGAGGGAGCAGCGCAAAGGGAAGCGGCTCCTTCTCGCTGGGAAGGGCCCAACTGGGGAAAAGGAGGCTCGGGGGGACCTTCTGGCTCTCCACAACTCCCTGACAGGAGGGGGGAGCTGGGGGGGGTCGGGCTCTGCTCCCAGGGAACGAGGGACAGGACAAGAGGAAACGGCCTCAAGCTGTGCCAGGGGAGGGTCAGGTTGGATATCAGGAGGAATTTTTCCATGGAAAGGGTGCTGAGGCTTTGGCAGGGGCTGCCCAGGGAGGTTTGGAGGTGTCCCAGGAAGGCCTGGACGTGGCACTCAGTGCTCTGGGCTGGGGGACAAAGTGGGCATCGGGCACAGGGTGGACTCCACGGGCTGGGAGGGCTTTTCCCACCTTCAGGATTCTGGGATTCTGTGCTGAGGCGACTCAGCCCCTCCCAGTCCCACCTCCCAGTCCCACCTCCCGTGTCCCCCCTCCAGCCAAGAAGCTGCCAAAGAACGAGCCCCAGAGCACGAGCGGCGCCGGGGGCCGGAGCCGGGGCGTGGACCTGCACGAGCAGAGCCAGCAGAACAGGAGCCAGTGCTGTAGCAACTGAGCCAAGATCCCACCTCCATCCCCGTCCACGCCGCACCTCCACCCCGGCACCGAGACCCCCCGACCAGGACCCTCCCAGAGCTCCTCTAACTGCACTTTTTAATGCTTCGAAGCCACCACTCGGCACCCGATCCCACCTGGCACCCGATCCCACCTGGCACCCGATCCCACCTGGCACCTGATCCCACCGGCTCCCCATCCCACCACACCCCACCCACCACCCCGGAGGCAGCGGAGCCAGATCAGCTGGGACTTAACTTCTGAGAAACAACGAACTCTTCTTCACTTTGTATTATAGGTGCAAATAGCGCCCTAACGCTCGGATTCCTCCCTCCATCCCCCCCTCTGCCCCTCCCTCTCTGCTTTGGGAAATCTGGGTTCCCCAAACTGCCCCCTCCTGCCCCCACCCCGCCGGGGGGGGTCCCCGGGGGGCGGCAGCACCGACCTCGTTGTGCTGAACCGGCCGGAACCAGAGCCCTCCGGAGCCGACGGGGCTTTTCCACGGGGTCTGTCACGGATTTCTTCGGAATTTTTATTATTTTCTCCCCCATCCTCTATCCCGTTGGGCTGTCGGGGAGAGGGAAGCTGCAGTGTCCTTCATTTCTTCCGAGGTGGCCTTTTTGATGGGAGATTGGAAGTGCCTGGGGACTTTTTTTTGGGGGGGGGGGCAGTGGGCTCCTGCTGGACCCTGAGTGCCACAGGCGACCCCTCCCCAGCGCCCACCCTGGCTCTGCTCTCTTATGGCTCTGGGGGCACGTCCCCATGGTCACCCCGGCTGTGGCCACCCCACAGTGGTGTCCCCTTGGTCACCCCGGCTGTGGCCACCATGTCCCCTGGTGACCCCGGCTGTGGTGGCCGCCCAGGTGCCCGCAGTGATCCCACCCCACAGGTGACACCCCCCCAGTGATGCTGGTGGCCGCCCCACAGGTGATCCCAGCTGGGGCTGCCCCACGGGCGATGTCCCCCCGCTGATCCCGACCCGGTGACCTCTGCCACGGCCACCCCCCGGGCTGTCCCCTGCTCCTGGTGATCCCAACCCACATCCACGTCCCCCCCGGTGCTCCCACCGACCTCCACGGTTTGTCCCGGTCCTGGTTTGCACTTTAGTGGTGAAATGTCCTGTTGAGACTCACCTCGGTTCTGTTCGTGTGTCCGGGGGGTGCCGGGGGGGCAGCGGTGCCACCACCCCCCCCTCGTCCCTCTGCTTTTCCCTGCGGAACTTCTGGAGCCGGAGGGACCCTCGGTGGTGGGGTGGGACAGGCGAGGTCCCCCGTCCCAGGTGCTGCCACACCCCAAAATGTGGACACCCCAAATCAGGGGCACCCCGAGCTGGCAGCACCACCCGGGCCTGGCTCCCTGCTGGCAGCGTGGGGGGCTCTGGGGACCCCTCAGGGGAACCGGGGGGGCCGTGGCTGTGGGGCAGAGGGACCAGTCTCATATGAAGCCCCCCAGCGCGGGGGCAGAGCCCACAGGATTTCAGCCCCTCCCGCTGCCGGGGCAGCCCCCCAGGGACCCTCTGGCCGCCGTTCTGGTGCTCCCAGTGCCTCATGTCACGGCCTGGGAGCCCCCCCGAGTGGGTGACACGTATTTAACAAGGGCTGGGGACCCCAGACCCCCTCCCCATCTTCTCGCCCAAACCCTGGACCAAATGAGGGACACTGCAGCTTCTCTCACTCTTTTTTTTTTCTCTTTTTTTTCTGCTTTTTCTCTTATTATTGTTATTATTTTTGCTTTGGGAAAGCTCCTCCATCGCAGTGAAATAACAATCGTGGTAACAGAACTCGGCCGCTAATTTACCGATGTATTTAATGTAAGTAAAACCAAACCGAACAACAAAAACCAGAAGGAAAACAACAAAAAAAGAACTCTGTGTGCTCAGGGCGGGGTTTAGGGGCGGGAGGGTGACTTGGACCACGCAGCCACCCGCTGTTGGCACCGGGCGGGAGCCGGAGCCATCCGGTGCCAACAGCCGGTGTGAGATCGCGGCTCTGCCCTGATAAGACTTATCGGAGCTCCCAGCTGGGTGGCGGCCGCCGGGGCTTTCACCCCCCCCCCTCGCCGGGACAACCGGGACCGGCCCCGGGGCAGCGCTGCCCGCTCAGACCCGACCGCGTGGCCGCTTTAAGCCCCCCAAGGGCTGGGGCCGCTCTTGCCCCTTTAAGCCCGGGCTGGAGGGGCCCACTCTCCGGTGAGGCCACGCCCACGCGGCCCCGCTAAGGTAAACAGAGGGGGCGTGGCCAGGGGGCTCTCACCGCCTGAGGCCCCGCCCCTCGCCCCCCTCTTAAAGCGGCAGCGCCGCTGGGACGTCGCGGGAGCGGAACCGTTACGCAGGTGGGCGACGGGGGCGAGCGGGACACGGCCGGGACCGGGCTGGGGCTGGGGAGGGGGGAGAACCGGGACGGGGCTGGGGCTGGGGAGGGGGGAGCGCCGGGACCGCGCTGGTGGAGGGAGAACCGGGACTGGGATGGACCGGGGGGGGGCAAAAACTGGGATCGGGACCGGGCCGGGGTTGGCGGGGGGGTGAAGAGGGTTTGTCACACGCCGTTGTCACCGATTCCTGCTTCCCCCGGGAGCGTCACCGGAGCCGCTCCCCGGTAACGGCGCCCGGTGACCGTTCCGGCCGCTCTCCGTCTCTCTCCCGTTCAGGAGCCGCCGCGATGCTGCTGCTCCGGGCCGTCGTGGGGCGCAGGTAAGAGCCGCCCGCCCCGCCGGGGCTCCCCAGTGCCCGCCGGGGCCCGGTGTGAGCCCCCGCTGTCCCCGCAGGCTCCCGCCGCTGACGCAGCTCCGCCGCGGCTCCTCCCGGTTCTCCGCCGGTGGCGCGGCCGCGGGGGGACCCCGGGGGGCGGCCCCGGTGCTGGCGGCGCTGCTGGGGCTCGGGGCCGTCCTCGCCTACGGGGAACGGCGGCGAAGGGTGAGCGGCACCGGGGGGGCTGAGCGCCGGGATGGCGGGGGCGGTACCGGGGGGGCGGCACCGGGGGGTGCGGGGGGTCCTGCGGGGAGCGGTGACACCCCGGGGTCCGTCCCTGGTACGGGGGCAGCGGGGTGGGGGGATCCCGGGGAAGGGGCGGCACCGGGACGGGGGGTCCTGGGGATGCAGCACCGCGGGGGGGGGATCCCGAAAAAGGAGGTGGCACCCCCGGGGAGGGGGGGGGCGAGCACTGGATCCTGGGAAAGGGGTGACACCGGGACAGCGACGTCCCGAGGATGGAGAACCGGGGGGGTGGATCCCGGGGGAAGGGGGTGGTGCCGGGGGGAGGATCGCGGGGGAAAGGAGCGGCACCGGGGCGGGGGGTGGATCCCGGGCTGGGGGGAACGGCACCGAGACAGCGGGGGCTGAGGGATACGGTACCGGGGGATGGGGGTGAGGATCCGGATCCTCTGGGACCCCCCTGGTTCTCCTCTGGAATGGGGACAGCGAGTTTAGCTGGGGAGGGGGCAGGGGGTGCCCCTTCCCCTCCCGACTGTGGGTCCCCTCAGCAAGGGCCTGATTTTGGGGGGACACCCCAAGCTCCTGGGCGGGGGGGGGGCCCCGGGGAAGGGTCCCCGGGCGCAGCGTCCCCCCCTGACGGGGCTGGGGTCCCGCAGAGCGCCCAGGCGGCCCAGGCCCCCCCGGCCCCCCGGTACCCCGTGTACACTCGGGAGGAGGTGAGACGGCACCGCAGCCCCGGGGACCGGGTGTGGGTGACCCACGGCACCGAGGTCTTCGACGTCACCGACTTCGTGGAGCTGCACCCGGGGGGGGCCGACAAGGTGCTGCTGGCAGCCGGGGGGGCCCTGGAGCCCTTCTGGGCCCTCTACGCCGTGCACAGCCAGCCTCACGTGCTGGAGCTGCTGCGGGAGTACAAGGTGGGCGAGCTGAGCCCCGAGGAGGCCCCGCCGAGCCCCGACGCCGCCCAGGACCCCTTCGCCGGGGACCCCCCGAGGCACCCGGGGCTGCGCGTCAACAGCCTGAAGCCGTTCAACGCGGAGCCGCCGGCGGAGCTCCTGGCCGAGCGCTTCCTGACGCCCAACGAGCTCTTCTTCACCCGCAACCACCTGCCCGTGCCCGCCGTGGACCCCGGCTCGTACCGGCTGCGGGTGGAGGGCCCGGGGGGCCGCTCCCTGTCGCTGTCGCTGCCGGAGCTGCGGAGCCGCTTCCCCAAGCACGAGGTGACGGCGACGCTGCAGTGCGCCGGGAACCGCCGCGCCGAGATGAGCCGCGTGCGCCCCGTCAAGGGGCTGCCCTGGGACATCGGGGCCATCAGCACCGCGCGCTGGGGCGGCGCCCGCCTGCGGGACGTGCTGCTCCACGCCGGCTTCGGCGAGCGCCGCGACGGCGAGTGGCACGTCTGCTTCGAGGGGCTGGACGAGGACGCGGCGGGGGCCCCCTACGGGGCCTCCATCCCCTACGGGCGCGCCCTCAGCCCCGACGCCGACGTGCTCCTGGCCTACGAGATGAACGGCGAGGAGCTGCCGCGCGACCACGGCTTCCCCGTGCGCGTGGTGGTGCCCGGCGTGGTGGGCGCCCGCAGCGTCAAGTGGCTGCGGCGCGTGGCCGTGAGCCCGGCCGAGAGCCCCAGCCACTGGCAGCAGAACGACTACAAGGGCTTCTGCCCGTCGGTGGACTGGGACACGGTGGATTACCGCACGGCGCCGGCCATCCAGGAGCTGCCGGTGCAGTCGGCCATCACGCAGCCGCGGCCGGGCGCGGCGGTGCCGCCGGGCGAGCTGGCGGTCAAGGGCTACGCGTGGAGCGGGGGCGGGCGGCGGGTGGTGCGGGTGGACGTGTCGCTGGACGGCGGGCGCACGTGGCGGGCGGCCGAGCTGGCGGGGGAGCGGCCGGAGCCGGGCCGGGCCTGGGCCTGGGTGCTGTGGGAGCTGCGGGCGCCGGTGGTGGCGGGCGCGGAGCTGGAGATCGTGTGCAAGGCCGTGGACGCCAGTTACAACGTGCAGCCCGACACCGTGGCGCCCATCTGGAACCTGCGCGGGGTCCTGAGCAATGCCTGGCACCGCGTGCGCGTCACCGTCACCCCCTGAGCCCGCGGGCGCGTGGGACGCGGGGACGCGGCTCGAAGGTCGCTGGGTTTTATGGCCCCCGACGTGTGAAAGTGGCTCCATAAAGATTTGGGAAGTTTTATGGGCTTGGCTGTTTCCTGGGGCAGCGAGGGCACGGCGGGATGGGGAGGGGATGGGGAGGGGAGGGCAGGGGATGGGTCTGGGGATCCCTCAGAGCCCCCCTAGACCCCTCAGAGCGGCTGCCAAGGGACCCCATGGGACCCCCTGAATGGGTGGGAGCCCTTGATCCAGTGGGACCCTCTGACACCATGGGACCCCCAACCTTAAATAACCCCCTGACCCAAGGGACCCCTTGCTTCTATGGGGCACTGTGGCCTTATAGGACCCTGTGACCCTATGGAACCCCCTGACTGTATGGGACCCCCTGATCCTATAGAGCCCTGTGACCCTGTATAACCTCTGACCTTAAATAACCCCTTGATCCTGTGGGACCCCTTGATCCTACAGGACACTGTGACCTCATGGTACCCCCGACCTTAAATAGCCCCTGACCCAGTGGAACCCTGTGACCTTATAAGACCCCATGAACACTATGGGACCCCCTGACCCTCTTAGGGCCCTGTGACCCTGTGTAACTCCCTGACCCTAAATAACCTGCGACCCTTTGGGACCCCCAACCCTAAATAACCCTTGACCCCATGGGACCCCAAACCCTAAATAACCCCCAACACTAAATAACCCCTGACCCCAAGGGCCCCCCTGGCCCTTCCTGCCCTGGGGACCCCCCGATACCTCCCAGCCCGTCCCTGCCCTGTCGGCCATCCGTGCTCGGTATTGATCACCAGCTACTGGCTATTGGTTCTCAGTAAACGAGCACCAATATCGACCCTTGGTTACCGATCACCGGCTCTCAGTTCCTGGTTATTGATCACCGGCTCTCAGCCCTCGCTTCTGCATCACCGGCCATCGACCCTTGGTTACCGATCACCGGCCATCGGCCCCCACTGATCGATCACAGCCATCGATCCCCGCTCATCCATCCCCCCTCCCTCCCAATCCCCCATCGATGCTCTCGGCGCTCGGCTGAGCCCCCGCGCCCGCCCCTCCCGCGGCCCCGCTCGATGCGCTCGGCGCTCGGCGCTGCGGGCTGGCGGGGCCGGAAGTGGCTCGGGGGGGGGGCCCGGGGCCTCCTCAGGTGGAGCCGCCGCCGCCGCCGCTCCCGGACCCCCCTGAGCCCCCCAGGGCCGGGCCGGGCCGGGGGGGCCTCCCGAGCCCGCCCCCACCCCGCCGGTGAGAACGGGACGGGACAGGGCGCGGGGGGGGCCGGTTCGGGGCGCGGGGGGCTCCTTGCGGGCGGTGGGTGGGGGGCGCGGTGTTCGTCCGTCCGCAGGGCTGGGCTGGGGGGGGCTGATCTGGGGAGGGGTCCGTGTCCTCCCCCCGGCGGGTGGCAGGAGTTCCTCGGGGGGGGCTGTTTTGGGGGTCCGTGTCCCCCCGGGGGGTGTCAGGGGTCGGTTTGG